TGAACTATTTCATTAAAACATCGTCTTGATCGAAGTCAAAACTATTCTTATAAGAATTAAATGCTTAAAAACAATATTTATTTTAAGTTACTATAGAATCAGAAAAATCTACCTTTTAAAAAGTAATGAACACTAAAAGAAACAATTAGATATTTTATTAAAGGTTAACATATGTGTTGAGATATTCAGGAAAATATCCCAAAAATTATTCTGTTAAGTCTAACGCTATCCTTTGAACTTGAGATGGTATCATTTTCCTATTGGTCAATATTTATTTCACGTGTCATTTTCCTACTGGTCAATACTTATTTCACGTGTCAAATGTTATTTTTGTTTTATGGTGCGGTGTGGTCTGCTTGATTGGTATATAAGCAGAGTATGTTTGAAATACATGATTCATATCTCAGAGGCTGAGACTTGCGTTCTGGACTCAACTGGCTGGGCTAGACAAGGAATCAGGACCAATCAGGACTCTGGGTTGTTTTCTCACGTGTCTTACGCGTTTTTGGTTCGATCGACAATTCGCTGCCGGCTAATCTGCAGTCACAAGTTATAACAATATGAGACTTATATAATCTCCTAAAATTTATTACGGTAGAACAAAAAAATGAACTGACTAATTCGTACTACGCGTTCTCAAAGTCTAAAAATGATATTTTCTTTCTAATTCATAGTCTTATAAAAAGCTTAAAAATCAGTAATCAGTATGATAAGAAGAAAAGTTTTAATTTTCCAGACAAATAAACACAATCTTTTTTTCTGCAAGTTTTAAGCTTTATGTATCCATTTCCTACTCAGTATTTTCTTTATAATAAATAAAAGATTTTAAAAACACAAGTATATAAAACCTTCACATCTAGTAATAAGTATTGAAAATCTAGAAGAGACTTGAAATAATGCATTTTAAATAAATTATTAAATGTTCCCATTGTTATCTAAGATTGCAAATGATCAATCTCTTGTTGGCATATGTGCATCCTTCTGGGAACTGCCTCGATATTGCCTGAAGTTACAAGTATTATAAGTAGAGATGGATAGTGGCTAGCAGTGGAATCAAGGACGCGCGTTTCGTCCTTGAGAAGATACAAGCAAACAACAGCGAATGTATATAACTTCACCCCATTGCACAAGAAGATGGCTATCAGGAATCAGTAGCTAAGTGGATAACACTATGGCGTTGGAAGCGAATGGTACTAGGTTCAAGTCCCAGAGTGAATATCAACTCTGAGACGTAGGTCCATCCAGCTGACAAGTTCTGGATTCCACTGGATTAATAAGTATGTTCCATGCAATTATTGATCATAAAGTTCACTAATTAGTCAGTTTGTGGTATATGCAACTGATGTAGTATGTATCATTGAACGAAAGCGGAATGCCTGGAGGCGGAAAGCTGAGAAGTTTGATGGGAAGAGAACGAAAACAGAGAGTGATTGATATGGAAATGAAGGAACAATGAAGTTTGAAACAATTGATAGATATTTTGCAGATGAAGTATTTACTGTATGGTTCTCAGATTTTGCTAAGAGACTCTGTAATTTTGTGTTCAAACACACTTGGTTGTCCCTGCCTGTGTTCTCGTCCACAACGAGTTGATTATACGAGGACTCTGATACATCTAAGTATTGATTATCTTTGGAATTTGATTTTTACTACTATAAGTCTTGATATATATGTTGTTGACGAGGAGCGTGTGAACAAATGAGCAAAATAAAATATTAGATAAGTTCCCATTAAAATGACTACTATAGAACACTAAATTCAAAAGCTAAGATGATGTAAATAGAGCTTTCTTATCTTAAAAAAAGATAAATATGTGAAAATGACGTAAAACGTACGTTAAAATAACCCTAACTGAAAATAAGGATGACAATGCGGCCTGCTTAAACATCTGGGCTACCTGTCCCTCTCATCTGGATATTTAAACAAGTTAACTATTCTCTTGTTTGTTTTAACACATCATTATGCCAAATAGTTTCGTAACCTATTCACATGTGCGTTTATGAAAAGTTTAAGAACTTCCGCTATACTAGTTACAAAAGAGCTCAATCAGAAACTTCGTGGTTGCTGGCAATATACATCAAAATAATATACATTATTCAGATGTCGGTTGATTGCTGAACTTCTAACATCTAACTGGCAACCACTCAATATTTATCGTCATGATTGATTAAGAAATAAGAAAAGGGAACTTGCTGAAATACTTTGTGCTGATAATTCTATATTGTACCAAAAATGTAATATTGAATAAAGCCACTAGTAATAATAATAGTAATAATAGTAATTCTGATATTTAATAATTCAACAACACGAAAATGTTAATAAACTTTACTTGAAAAAAGTAATAAAACATTTAATATTGAACAATTTTAATAAGATAAACAAAACAAGTTTCTTTAAACACTCATATGTATGATCAATGCTCAATGTAGAATAAAACTCGGCAAAAAAAGAAACGAAGATTAAAGTTTTTAATTAGGGATTTAATCAACAAAACATCTTAATAATTAAGCATTTTATTTTAAAAAAGAAATTTAACTATTTTGTTTATTTACATAGTAACAATATTTAAAATAAATTTTATTTAATGTTTAATAAGCGCTGGAAGTGGATAAGACACACATTGAGGAAAGCACCCAACTGCGTCACAAGACAAGCCCTCACATGGAATCATCAAGGCCAAAGGAAAAGAGGAAGACTAAAGAACACATTATGCCGAGAAATGGAAATAGACATGAAAAAAATGAACAAGAATTGAATGGAACCAGAAAAGAAGGCCCAGGACAGAGTGGGTTGGAGAATGCTGGTCGGCGGCCTATGCTTCATTGGGAGTAACAGGCGTAAGTAAGTAATTTGAAAACATATTCATAATATGAACTATGAATATGATAGAATGTTATCAAGATATTTAACATGATATTACTAAGGATATAAATCATTTAGCTAAGAAAATATAATTCTATCTGATAGACAAATATTCTTTATTATTATTAACAAAGACGTTTTATATTATTTTTGTCCTTACAACTAACTAATACTGTTAGCTCTCTGTAATCAAGTCTAGGAGTTTGTATTCGCTCATAGATATCACTTTCAATGAGAAGCCTAATGATATTACATTGTTCCATATCGTATATCATGGGACCATCGAGTAAGTAACACAGTTGTTAGGAAACGGGTACTAGGTAAGGATGGCAAATCAATTGATGAAGTAGTGAAACTTCATCAGTTGAGATGGCTGGGACACGTGTTACGTATGCCCAACGACCGACTGCCTCGACGTGCTATGTTCAGTGGTATAGGAGTAGGTTGGAAGAAAGCTAGGGGCGGCCAAACCAAAACATGGCATAAGTCCATGAAGTCACTGACAAGTGGTCTGAGTCATGTCGGTAGGTGTAAACTACCTGGTTGGGGACCTCGAGATGATAGCAACCGATGGTTAGAGACCCTGAATGACATGGCTCAAAATCGTTTGCAATGGCGCAGGTGTATCATCCACTCTCTGTGTTCTCCCAAATTCTAATCTTCTGAATTCTTCATGTCCCTTTCTTCCTCTTTCCAAATTTATTTCACTGTATTATACTCTTTAAATAACATCTCCAAACCCTAATCTTCCCGATTACTGCTTATACTCTTGCTACCTCTACCACTACGGGATTTGAATCGACAACTGCATCTCTGTGTTAATGTGGTGTGGCAACTCGAACTGATGTACGTACGTACAAAGTTCTACGTTGTTACTGACTGACTGACATGTCAAATTATTACAAATGAAATAATAACTGAGAGTAATAAGCTGAAAAGTGTTTTGTTATTACAATTCAACATCTATTTCCGCTTGCGGGATATATTAGAAATCAAAAATAGAGCTTGGATTTTATGGTAGGCTGTATTTCTATGTTAGGTTATAGATTTGATACACAGAACAAAAGCTAGTATTATTGATGGAACCGTATTCAAGATATAAACTATTGTTCTTAATTATATAATTAAACAACTTAAGCGCTTGACTAATATAATAATAATAAAGAACCCAGTTTTAAACACCACCAAATGATTAAAAATATTTCGTTGTTGGTTTTAATTCAGAAACAATAATAAGCATGGAGTTTATAGAAAATAGGAAGATAAAAATAAGTGTTTGATGTAAAACACACTCAAACAAACATTCATCAATAAACCGATATAAGATATGACTTGAGATAAGTGTGTTTTTATCTGAGTTTCTTTAATTCATATTACAAATTAACACTCCAAATAGTAAATCAGACCAAATAATGATATGAAACTTAGTAGTAACTGAAGTGTAGGAGATATCAATACATTTAGTAAACGAGTCCTGACTGGGACGAAACGCACATTCTGTATTCCATTGCTAGTCACTATCTAACCCTATTAATATACTCGCAAATATCTGGGTATATAGAGGTTTCCCTCTCAAGATACATAAATGTTCAAAGTGATTGATAAACTACAGTATTTAATATCAACAAGAAGATACAAACACTGACGAATTGAAGTGCAGGAAATATTATTCAAATAAATTTAATAAAATCGGGAAATTAGAAATATAAAAACGAAAACAAAAACAAATAGACCACATGATGATAAATACGTTTTTACTGCAGTAATCATCTGAGACTATAAACTGAGATATGCACTGGGTCTTAAATAAATTTATCGATCAAATAAAGTAATGAATTGTATTTAATATCTTCCATGAAACGGTTATTGATATTTACTTGCAGAACATATGTACAAACATCAGTTTCTAATGATCAACTCATGTCTTAAATGTCATAATGAAATATGATATGCTAACGTATAAATAATAAAATATTCTATTTTTAATACAGCACTTGAGAGAAGCTTCTAGATAAAAAGTAAACCGAATTCAATATGCCTAAAGTAAATCATGCATATTCCCTTCGATCTTTAATTAATAATAATTCAATTTTTTTTCAAAATAATCAACATTTACATTTTAAAAAGCATCTACTCACTTTCAAATCTCGATGTACAACTCCTTGACTATGCATATATTCAGTAGCTAACAGAACTTGTCGAATAAGGGCACTTGCATCACGTTCAGTATAACTACCTTTCTGAACAATACGATCGAATAATTCCCCTCCAGTAACCCTAAATTTGACAGAAAGAGGAAACAAAGTCTTGTAAACGAATATCAGAGGAATAACCAGTTAATAAAACAAATTAACAGAGTATTCTGATCTAGTTACTAGGGTATGAAAATCATTGTTCTTCAAAAATCATTATGATATAAATTACATCGCTGTAAAGTAAAATTTTAATTAATTTGATCATAGTTATTAGTTGCTAACAACCTGTTAAATATTTGACCCAATACTATCATAATTCATTATTTTATAAAACATTATATTGTTGTGAATCGTCCTGGAATGAAATCTTAGTGACGAAACTTTCAGTGTTCTATTTTTCGAGTTCTGTCTAAAATACTGAACTTTCAGGTTGACTCATGTCCATTTAATAAGAAGAAAATTCACCTTTGAATAACATCGATTAACTTGTCATGAGTTTTGAACCAGGAGAGTTTAAACTAGGTTAAGTCGGAGAAACTGCCGTATTTTATGATCTTTTCTAACATCGGCTTATAGTGCTTTTCTGTAATTCTTCACCGCTTTCCTGTTTTTATTGTCTAGTGTTAACAATAACCCTTGTGTGTCCCGTAAAGTCTTTTCTATATTGCTCATACATTGGAGTGGATAAAGAGGACATTGTATATCACCCTCTTAGTTCATTGTCAATGAACCATTGCACATCTTGTTTTGCCATTTATTAAGTAAAAGATAAGTCAGTTGGCAAGAAATATTATGTTCAGTGAAGTGGAAAACAAAGCGAAAAGACAACAAGTGTTTTATTGTTATGTAATAGTAAAAAAACGTTACTAAAGGGATAATAATAATCATTTATTCAGTCAGAATTTATTAAAACATTTGCAAATACATGGCCACACAATACTTCAAACTTTAGTCGACGAAACTACAATAAACATAGCTGTTTTTATGGTCAAATGCTCCTACTTACTGTCAGATGACCTTTGTCATTAATCATCACTATTTATGACCCAATAAGTAATTCACAGGCAGATTATCAGAACTATATATTCATATGCATGGCTGAAAAGTCTACTTTATCAATCAACTTTAATACTTATTTTGACGATTTTGCTCTTGTTCACTTTGTATATATATATATATATATATATATATATATATATATATATATATATATATATATATATATATATATATATATATATATATATATATATATATATATAGACTGCTCCGGTTATCTAAGCCAATTATTTTTTAACTAACAATCGTTTGTTAAATGGATTTACTAGCGTAACACTTTGTAAGAGACAGCCATTAACGTGTGCTACAGTTTTCAAAAGTTTCTTATTATTTAAAATCGCAGCTTTTCTATGTGTTTTATTTAACTATATTAGCGTAAAATCCAAGTTTCACAAGAAGTTGATACCGTATTTATCATTATAAATACTTCTGAAACAGTTAAACCTCGTTTCAAAAGGTGAGTAGTCATCGGCAAATTATTGAAAAGAACAGATATCCTAGATATCAACAACAAAAATATTCTTCATGACGGAAAGCAACTGAATTCAAAAAGCAGTAGAAGAATTAGGTATGTGAAGAAGTGTTTCTATAAAGAACAACGACTATCAATAAATTAAGTCCTATAAATACAATGTCACCATATCCTTTTATTTCGTTTATTCAAGATTGTAATTTGATGTGTTCGATACATTATGAATTTTATGATAAGTTGAATATAATCAATAAAGCATTCGTATCCCCTTTATTACACATTTCAATTTTAAATGACTGTGAACAAAAAAGGAGTGATATAGAAGTATAATGAAAAATTGCTCTGAGTTGTTTTTATTGGGCTGCTTGAAGCTTGCATTGCAGTTTAAGCTTACAATCAAATTAACGACACTGGGATTAGTTGATAATTACGTATTTGTGAACAGAACCATAACTACTTTTGAAAAACTTGACTTGCTTTCAACCACCCTCAAAGAAGTGTCATGCATGTTTTGTATTTCAGAATTTCGCCCGCAAATAGTAGGTTTTATTTCTTTATCTAAAGTTTGCTGACATTTATCAGTCCGTTTTCATGGACTGAGGGTAAGCTAGTTCGAGAAAACCCCTCATGTATGATATTTTACAGAAAATAAAAATTTTGGATATATAGATGTATCGATGAAGTACTACTGATTGGAGCCATTTCACTGATACTTCCTAATCACGGATTACGATTATCTTGAAGACCCTAAACACAACGTTTACATCCATCCTCCCAACATGGATCATTTCAATAGTTGCTGATATTATAGACATATACAATTATCTCTGTCTACTCAATCTAAACCATTTTCCAATCCAAGTCCACATTGGCTAGCATCGCTTATCTGAGTTGGCAAAAATGAATTTTATTAGACTATTCAAATAAAACTTCATTTGTTTTCTGGAGAGTCTGTATTTAGTTATTACTTTTGATAAAAATTATACAAGTTACAACGGTAGGGATAGTGCTTGAAAAAACCTGCCGTGAGGATATGATAAAACAAGGACAAAGCTGACATACAAGAATAAAGCTGGCAAACTCAGTAAAAGTACTAACCAAAATAACGTTCATTTGGTAGTAATTTTTGGGGCAATCTTAAGGAGCTACTGAGAGCCAAAGAGTATAAAATATGTTCTGTCTCAGTTTGACACTTTAGTGGCGTACATTCACAGATCAACACAAAGTAAAAAATAAGAGTTTTCAACTATCTCATAAGGCAAGGTATCTTAAGGTCACTAAGATAGGTGTACATTTGAAATCTGTAGTGTATATATTTTTGTACTGAAATTATCAAAGCACATTTGCGTGTGCCACTGATGTTTTGTATAAATACACTAGTGGTTTATGGATAGCTTCCCATACGACACATAAAACACAGGATAGACAATTTGATCAGTTGCATTAATATTACCAAAGTGGGTTTTTACGTACCTTTTTTCATCAAATGGGTGTAAATTACTTATTTTTTTTCACTCAAAACCTGTCGAATATCCGTTCTTACCGACGGCTATGGCCTAAATCATCTTGAATAACCCGCATCACACATCAGTAAATCAGAGTGAAAACTGAATACCCTTATTTACGTGAATGAAGGCCGAGATGAAGATCGACACCCATTTCTTGTTGTTCGCCTGATTAATTTCTGTACAAAGGCTAATAATGAAAGGCTGACTCCCACACGGAAATAAATTTTGCAAAGCTTTCAATCAGTAGCCTGATGATTAAAAGCTAAAAGCTCTAATTGTCCATTTAGGGATAACCTGCATATATGTGTCTTGTACTAATCGTCGTAATACAATAATCGTGATTTTATAAATAGAGTGTGAACATAAAGCTATCGAGAACAATGATTTGCTAAAACGCCCTCTCGCTCTCGAATATTCTACAAGAACAGTCAAAATACCCTTTGTATGATGATGTAAATCATCTGTTGATATTTGCACAATAGTCAGGTTAATTCTAATGGTGTGACGTCGAATTTCAATACGTATTTTTATATCAGTGGCTAGGAACGGTTCATATTTGGTTGGACTGCAAGACCCGTGGCGAAAATCTAAGCATAGTTTTGCATGCAACTTATGTAAACATTCAATTTAAAGGCAAGGTAGATGCAATTAACGTTTTCTTTTATTTACACATTAGGTAATATTTAATAATACATATCATTAAGCGAACTTTGATTTTTAAGAATAAAAATTTAACTCACAGTTCCATAACAAGGTAGTAACACTCCGCATCTTCTAAGACATCGAACAACTGAACTATATTTGGGTGTCTGAGTCTGGTTTCATAAAGAGGTTTTAAATCATCAACTAACCTTCTCAGCACTTCTATCTCATTGTTGAGAGACTCCTTGCGTGACTCAGCCTCCTTGATAGCACACTCGGAATTTTGAGACTTAGAAAGGTATTTTTTGCGAATACACTTTATCGCTACGAATGATCCAGGGTTTCGCTGATCCTCTGCAAGACGGACTTCTGAGAAGGCTCCCCTAGATGAGTGGGTGCAATTGTATTACATAAAATCATTCATACGTTCCCAATATTTCTTTGAATTCATAGTGGTCAATCGACTGTAACGAAACCATCACACTGAACTATGTAGGGGACGGTAACAACTGAACAAAGTGCATTTCTAATAGCAAATTAAAATTCTGTCAAGGTTGAATATAACTCTTTGAAGCATACAAACGAAGATGCTGCATGAGAAGGCACAACTCAAGTTTATGGTGTGTTTAATACAAGAACAAACTTACACAGTTACTTTTCGTGTTTTAGGAATCGAATCACATACCGATAGATCGAAAATTAGACTGATGATGGATATCAGTTTTCAGTGGTTAGGATCATAAATCAAACAGCCTATATTAGTCTTTTTAACTGTTAGTATTGTAGAGATTAAGTTTCGCTTTAAATTTATCAGCGAAAGGCACCGATATTACATGTCTCGGTAGAGAATTCGGCAAGACGAGAATCTGTGGACGAACCAATCAAATTTGGGGGCGTCGTCGCGAAATTCATTCATCCGTTTGGACAACTAGAGTTTTGAAATTTTAGCTGATGTCAGTTCGTGATGAAAACAATATATCTAATTCCTAAACCTAACGACCAATCGTAAATCATAGTTGTTATTCTTCAAACTGCTTCATAATCCTCATTTAGCTCTAGCAAGTAGATAGACATTGTCAAAGTGTGTTGTTTGAACGAACTAATGACACTTTTGTACTTGTTGATTGCACGATTTTGAATTCCAAATACAGTACATTCGCTTGTGCTTGTGTCATACTTGCGCTATTTCTGGGACTCTGATTTCGTGCTATAATTCAAATAATTCGAAACATTATACAAAGTCACTATAGTGTCACTCGAAGGTCGTCCCTAAAATATAGTCCCATAGAGAAGTCCAGTAATCCACCACTTTATATGAGAAAGGGAACCCCGGACGTAAACGGTTTCATCTCACTATTTGAACTTTCCTAGAACGTGCTCTAAGAAGGTCACTCCTGGTTGGAAACACAAAATAGGACATATCAATGCCAAGACCATTTTTCAATATGCGCTAACTTAGTAGTAAATGACTCCGCAACCCGCCTTAATTCAACAGAAAAAGATTGATGCGGGGAACTTTATTTTTCACGGATATCCACGTTGATGAAGCTCCGTTTAACCAAACTCGCTGTCTTCTACCATTGAGTTCACTTATCCGGTCTATGATTTTATAATTTATTCTGAAACTTTCCAGTTTTTATCTAAGACTGAGTTGGGAGGCCTTGTGAAAGGATTTACTTAGATCTATGAAAGTTGCATCTACCGGAACATTACTATTTTTCCTTGCAGTTCAATTTTCTCTTGCAGTGCGGTTCATCAAGCTTTAGAGGATTTTCCTAAAACCATATTGTGCGCCGACTGAAAGATTATTCCCTTCCACAAAGTTTAGAATAACCAGCCGAATAACCTTCTCCACTAGTTTGGCAACTTCACTGGTTGAACTCTTGTGTCCAGAATTACTAACTAATTCTCAACCCTCGTTTTTGTAAACTAGACTAAAAATTGCATCTGTACAGTCTTTTATCAGTTTGGACTGCCTCAATGACTTATCAAACAATATTGCATGAGATTTAGCAATTACAACCGCCAGTGGACTCGTAAGCCTAAGATAAATATCGTCAGAAGCACTGAACGTAAATAGTTTGGGGTGGTTAAGTAATCTTAAGACAGTTTCCGTCTCAAAAACTACAGTATTCATCGACAAGCCGCTTTATAATGGATCGTTGGTCATTCACCATCGTCGGTAGAAAATACTTCACTAAAATAATTTGATACAGATTCAGCCTTTGTGAAGTTATTCCTTGTCAATATCAAATAATTATTTACACCGGGAGTGGCAGGATCTTTATGTGCGAGTCTATTTCCACAATCTCTAATCTATTGTTTTTCATATGAACGACTATTCGTGCTTATTAACGCTTTTTAAGCTCCCTCAGTCCTACAATAAACGAACCTTTACTGTTCAGAGCCTCTAGGGATAAACATACTACATTCCTTTTCCTAAATTTCAAGAAATTTCTCGAAATGTTTTGTTATCTATGGTGAGCAGTGAATAAGTCTTCACGGCACTAGGCACAATACTAACAGGAACGTAACTAAGCTACGTCTACCCTTAAACATAAATCATGCTTCTTAAACTGATGAGCTGATATTGAGTGTGTTTGCTTTCCACACACCTGGTAGAGGTCTAACTTGATCATATATTGTCACAAACCTTAAACATGAATGATAATACAGTATGATCCCTACTATTAGATAAGCAATATCTCCGATCGCTTTGGTGATTACTAAATCCAGCAAAAAACGATTTTTTTAAACCAACACATCTGGGTGTATGTTCATGGTCTACTAAAGCATGATCTAATATAGCCATCAGATGCATTCAAATCTAATATCAAGAATCTGTTATTTTCAATGTGAAGCTGAAGGCGCTCCAAAATAAAATGATCAACTAAACAGTTTAAGCTACGGTAGATGACATCGCAGTTAGTGACTTCACAATTCCCATAATCGTGAGATTCACAAGCAAAGGAGCCGATGCTTATGATATTAGTTAGGTGTGTAAAGACCCAACATCGTTTTCCGTGTCTGTTGCTATCACTTCTCAAGTAGTTGTATCCTGATAATTACGGAGTAGTGTTATAGTCATGGAGAAACCAGGCTTCCGTCACAACTACAATAATTGGCTTTAATTAGCTCACTATTGTTCCTGGTTCATGGAATTTATTTCCGAGACTGTGCGCATTTGTACATAAAATCCTATGAGAGGACAACCTAACCATACAGGTCTTGGTAGTATTCAGTTACAAGATATAACTACCTTAAAACCCACTAAGCGCAGGTTTTCTCAACCATATTCTTGACAGATATCTAATTCACATGGTGCGACCTTCCTTCTAATTCTGTCATCTAGAGATATGCCATGTCTTACCCAAATGTCGTTATTATCTTCACTCCCAGTACAAGCTAACAAAGGATTTTCTTGTTCCTACGACCCTATGGTTGGCTTCAACAGTTTAAATAGTCAGGATTCGAAATTTTCTTCAGTCCTTCAAGCACAGATTTTGGACCTTGATAATCAACATTAATTGATGATTTGATTTAAATAACTACAAGACTATTCAGTGGTACTAACTTACCCAGGCTTTATTTAAAAACTTGAGTGACCATTGGTTTCAAGTAAACTGGATAGATGTTCCACAACTATATACATGTATTACTGGGTTCATTGCAATCTGTAAACATATTTTCATAATCATGAACATTTTGACCAGTGCTCAGTTAAATTTTCAGCATAAGTGATTAACATTTTGAGAGTGAATACCAATGTCAAAGGTCTGAGGCCCAGTAACGACCCTGTTTTGTATTTAGGAGTTCACGTTGAACCAATCATGCACACTCCATACATTAGAAGCGTAGACCAATATAATCGAAAATGCAGTGAAATCGACTTTTAAAGCGAGAAAACAGAAACAAAAGACTTGTCACACAAGTCAAGTATTTATTTTACTTTGATATAAAACATTATTACAGAACACACAGTGGAAGCCTGTTTTCCAAAACCCTCTGTTTCATATTGCTCTGACGATGGTTACAACGCACCACTGGTTAGCCACTCTGAGTTTGGATTTAACATAAGTGCTTAATTATCCGACTGTAATCGGTTCTGGGTAATCCAGAATGGCCGCCACTTTGCTTTCGGAGGTTGGATGCCTTGAGCATCAATAGTGTGTTCGAGGAAATCCAGGTGGTAAAATCCGATTTGACATTTCCTCGCTTTTGTAGTCGTTCAAAGACAAGGTCTAGATGCTGGGAATGAGATTCACTGTTCAGACTTGCAATCAAACAGTCGCCAAAATACGCATGTACGAGGTTGAGATCTCGAAAAATGTCATCAACGAACCTTTGGAAACTTGGTGCAGCATTTCTTAAGCCGAAATGCATGGGCAAAAACTCGCAGAGACCGAAAAGAGTGATGGTAGCGGAATGTCATCCGCAACCATGGGAATTCGACTATATGATCCAACCAAGTCGATTTTTGAAAAAACTGGTTGTATCTTTCAAGATATCTGTCAAATCATGGATCTAAAGCAATGGGTAATGATCAGGAAAGGTTTATGCATTCAATCGCTGATATTCACCAGTCGGACGTGGTCGTTGCTGTTCTTTATGGGGACCACATGCAAGAAAGATGCCCATAGGCTGTTTGATGGCCGAATGATTCTTAAATCTATCATGTGGTTTAATTCATTGTAATCCAATCCCAGCTCTTCGTGAGCTAGTCGACAATACCGGTGGTCCTGTAGTCGTGGTGTGATATGTAACCTTGCTGGTTAAACATGGCGAATTCGGCTGAGATAGGTATACCTCAGTGTAACTATTGAGTACTTGTGTACAGTACGGATCGATCGTATGCTTTACTGTGCCCGGAGATAACCTAAAATGGAAATAGTTACACATAGAGACAAATCCGTATTTCCGTCTACTAACCTGCGTTTGAGCATGTCGATGAATAAATTATGATGTTGTAGCAGGTCTGTACCAATGATTGGTATAGAAACGGCTGCAATTAAACGCAACTCAATTTCGTAAATGTGCCCTTCAGCTTAGCAACCAATCAGAATGAGGCGGGAATTATTACATCCGCCATCTTCGTAAGCAATGGCGGTCGGCTTTCTTCGTTCTGTGCTTCTTTCAGCTATTTCCTTTGTGTGGCTACGGAATTTAATGTTTCAGTGTGCTAAAATTCAGAAGTTAGTGTAATACTCTGAACGTTGGAGCAAAGTTTTTCCTAATTTTGCTTTGTTTTCTGGGTTTTACCTGCTGCTAATGAAGTCACTGTATTTATTCAGCTAAGCTGGCTAGTACTAACATAAGACCTTACGTTTTCAAACGACAATCGGTTATGTTTTATCTTGTTTTCTAGAAATCCGAAGTTCGTTTTCATTTAGCTAAAATAATTGTTGCTGCCGCATGTTCGTTCCTCACTGTCCCTTATGATGTTATCGGCAAAATGAAAGGAAACAGTCTGCGTTTTTTAAATTTTCTTCAGTAGTATGGACAACACTATCCCACCAAAGAGTCAAACTAATACACAGTGCCCAGCAGTAGGGTATGTCGG